TTTTTTTTTTTTTTTTTTTTTTTTTTTTTTTCTGTGAGTGTCACTCTGGTCCCTCATTGCTCTTGCTAAAGGCACTCTGAGCAATCTCCCTTCTCATTGTGGCCATGATTATATCCTGCCTGACCTCTAGTGGTTTCTTCCCGAAGTGAATCTCCTGTGTGCAGAGAGTGCAGCACGCAGAGAGGCCAAGCAGGATTTCAGGAGCGTGCCAAAGGCATCCCGGCAGGTATCAGCCAGCATGCTGGCACATCACAGGGGCACGGAACTGATGCTGAGGCCACATCTCCAGCGCTGTGCCCAGTTTTGGGCCCTTCACTACAAGAAATACATGGAGGTGCTGGAGTGTCTCCAGAGAAGAGCAGGGGCTGGAGCATGAGTCCTGTGAGAAGCCACTGAGGGAGCTGGGGGTGTTCAGCCTGCAGAAAAGGAGGTCATGGGGAGACCTTATCACTCTCTATAACCACCTGAAAGGAGGTTGTGTCCAGGTGGGGGTTGGTCTCTTCTCCCAAGGAAACAAGCAATAGGAGAAGAGGAAATAGGCTCAAGTGGTGCCAGGAGGGTTTAGGTTGGATATTAGTAAAAATTTTCTTACTGAAAGGGTTGACAAGCATTGGAATGGGCTGTCCAGGGGAGTGGTAGAATCACCATCCCTGGAGGTATGTAAAAGACATGTAAATGTGGCACTTAAGAACATGATTAATTAGTAGGACTTTGCAGTATTAATTGCTGAACTATATGTTTTTAGAGCTGTTTTCCAACCAAAATGATTTTATGATTCTATGATTCTTTCTCAGTTAGGGTTGTTGCATGAAGGGTTGCATGACTAGTTGCATGTGATTAAAGACTTGAAGCCCTCTGCATGAATTTAGGCCTACTTTTTACACATCTGTGAGCTGAAGTAATACCTGTCCATCTTTTTATAAAGTGCTTCAAGATCTATGGATAAGTTTTTCATGGGTTTAGGTTGACTTGATCTAGCAGAGATAGAAAGGTTGGACACCAAATAGAAGCTATCCTGACCTAATGTTATAGAGGAATGACCTTCTGGATCTATGTAAGGATGTGTGTACTCTCAGTGTGTTATGTCCATATTTATCACACACCAGTGTGATATCCAGTGATATCCTGCGCCTGGATACTCAAAGGTTATCTCTATTGCTTGTAAAATCACATGAAGCCATCACTGTAGTTATAGGTCTGATCTCTTTGCAGGTAAGCCTGTCTGCATGCATGTGCATACAGATTGTGCAGAGACGTGTTAGAACATATTTCTGCAGGTTGAATCTGCATGCAGATTTCTGCTTGCTTTAATCCTGTTTCAGTGGGTGCACAATCAGTCTGACTTCGTCAAACCTGGTTTTCCTGTGAGGATTAGTCATGTTCCTTTTCTGTGAAGTTAAACCTTTCATAACCGTCTGCTTACTTAACACAGTTACTTAATTGCTATAACAAACTATGGATGAAGCATAAATAATTCATGTTCACCAGAACAGACATGTTCATAGCCAAGTCACCTGAGGAAGGAATGGGCAGGTATTCACACTGCTGTTCCAGTCACTCGTATCTCAGCAGCTCAGCTCTGCAAATTCCCAGATGCTGCTGCACTTTTCCATCCAGAATCTTGCTGGCCACATTTGCCATGCTAATAGAAAAACAGTTTTGCTTTTCAGTATGTACCTAATTCTAAAAAAATGATCCCTATATATATGTGTTTCTCCCAGAAGAATGAATGTGGCGTTAGAATGGTCAGTGTCAGTGCCTACACCAATTTCTCTTGGTAATGATTTTAACATAAGCAGTTCAGCTTAGAAATGTTGACATTACTGATTTCTTTTAGCCTGGTATTAATGTTTCCTGTCTGTATTGCAGATATTAAAATTGGTAGGAGAAACCTTCCTGCATTTGGAAGAGGTTTCTGGTTGATAGATCCACCAGACTGTGTAATGGTGTAAAATCCCAGCGCATCATAGTCTGAACATCTGAGAGGGAAATAAGTTTCCTATGCAAGTAGGGAGAGAAAATAGGAGAAAATATGAGAATGTACTCTGAGTAACAGCAAACACATTTTTTTTCCTTTCCTCTGGAGCCTGTCCCTGTTATACCTAACTAGTTCTTTAATATATTAAATTTTGAATTTAATTTTCTGTTATTGAACCTCGCATGGTTGATGAACCAGCCATGGTATTTGAAGCATTACCTTAGTAAACTGCAGGTTTGGAGCTGAGCTGAATGTTCTCTGTAATTTTTCACATTATCATCAATGAATAACTGTTCCATTTGCCTACAGTTAGGGGAGTTTTACTCCATAACCATCTGACATCAAAAGGGTAACTAATGTTCAAAGTCATCATCACAAGAATAGAATCTGAATGAAAACTCTATTTAATAAAAAAATTAGTGGATGAATCATGACATTATAGGCATAAAACTTCTGTAATCTATTGGCAATTCTGATATTAGCTACTTTTATAGCCTTGGGCTAGTAATATTAAACATATTCTGTCGAGACTTTCTGAATCAGGCAGTTGTGTAATTGAAGTAGCTGTGCAGAGCTTTGACCATCATAAGTTGGCTTTACCTGCTCAAAATCATTATTAATGAGAGTAGATTAAAAATGCAAGGTCAAGCACCTCTAAATTAGGGTGTACCAGACGTATTATTGTCCTCTTTATGATTATTAACCAGTGCCTAAAATTTAGCAAAATTAAGAAGAATTGGAATAATGAGCAGTCAGCCTTAATTAGAATCACCATTCACAGCTGCTCTAATTAAAAAAATTATATACAGGAAAAGGGTAAACCCAGCTTTAGCTTTGCTGGCTAGCAGTGATCCCAACTGTTGGGTTTGGTGGTATTGAGGTTTACTTTCTAAGAAGCTGAGAACTGGATTTAATCTGCACTGATGTTTTGAAATGATTGCTTATTTTACTAATGAACATCATATGAAACATAGTATTCCCTGTCCATGATTCATCATGTATCTAAAATGATACAATGCCCTTTATTTGGGAGTCATATATATTTTACTGCTGTCCTTAAAAGAGCAATTCCAATTGAAGGAAGCAGAAAGAATTAATTTATAGATGTCAGCACAGCACCTGTAATGGGATGCAGATGGAAGCTTTGTTCTGTTATCCTGTCAGTAAACTGCCTGTGCCTTCGTCAAATAGACGATTCTGCATTGCCTCCCTGTCAGAGTGGATGGAGGTGACAGCTCAAGCTCCCATCCTCAATGCAATGTTAGAGTGTTAATTTTGGAGGACTCGTCACTGTGAGAAATGCTTGGAGATATTTTTGGGGAGTGGCATAGTGCTTTTGTGCCCTTTTAAATGAGATGATATCAAACTGTGTTCATCTGGAAGCTGTTCTGCATGGGGGTGGAGAGGTGAGAGAGGAGAGGGATGGTGCAGGATCTTGTCTGAACCTCAACAGGAAAAACAAATGTCTTCATAAGAGAACTTCTATAATAAGACAGAAT